AACTCGATGCCAAGATCACTAACCTCGAGCACCGCACGCGGTCGCACATCCAGCATCTCAGCGACACCGTCAAGCAGAAGGTGAATACAGTTACTCGCCACGCCATTGTCAGATTTCATTACATAACAAACATTTTATTTTAAATTTTACGGGGATTTTAGAATATGACAAAAATATTAAATTTTCTTCGAACGGTTTGAATAACATGATAATGAATAGTGAAAGTAGAATATAAAAAACCTCATATTCCTTCAGCTGGCGGCGGAGAAAGAAGAGTGTCGTCAGCGGGCTGAGAGAACCCGGACGTCTCGCGATGCGGAGGCAGAGCTGAGGGCGTCGCAACTCCGGCAGTGGGTGGAGCGTCGTCTCGCAGCGCAGAACTCAGGAAGCCCCGTCGCCCATACGCCCAGGACCTGCACCGCCTTCAGAGGCTCAATCCGAAGGGGAAGAGACCCTGTGACGGGGCTCTTCCCTTTGACGAGGTGGGTTCTTCAGGGTTTTTTCGCCTAGTAATAATTTCCCTTACCCGCTTTATAAATTTACTTACCGTGGTTGGTCCTTCTCTAACATTCAGTGTATCCAACAGATCCCGCTCAGAAGAAGCTGTATCAGAGTATCGGGAGGAAGGAGAGAGCGACCATGAACCTGTGTACAAGGGACTCAGGGTGCTCGACCACCCGACGTCCATGTACAATATTCCTCAGACCCTCAACGACGAGATTGACACTGTCATCTATGATTCACCAAAGCCCATCGCCTCGCTGGTTCCCGGCGCCCTACGATGTCCTTCACCAGATGACCATCACATCCGGAGTGTGTCTGCAGATGGTCGCGGCGGACCGCCGACGAGCAGACAGGAGGGTCGAAGTCATTCAGTAGATGCTCGACAAGTCCTGGGTGATCCACGAAGTCAAATGGAGGAGAAGAGAGGCCCAGAAAAGCCTCGGGGTGAGAGTCCCGGCTGGCTGGCCACGAACAGAGACCTTCTGAACGAGTCTACCAGCAGTGATGCTTCTGCTGGTCGTCGAGGAAGTCGCGGGAGCCGAGGAGTAAGCGGGTCGTCTGCCCATGGCTCACCTCTGGTCGGCCGCATGAGTCGCTACTCCCCAGCTCAACCATCGCCGCTCTTGCGCCGCCCGGACTTGACTTCGCAGGGCGAGGTCTTGATTGCTCCTCCAATGAGACCTGCGCCCCTGCACCACTCCGACCTGAATCAGGCGGTGGACAACCTGCGGGTGTCGCACGCCGAGCACGGGGCGATACCAAAGACCAACGGCCGAGCAGAGGATCGCGACGAAGACCGGGACGACGCGCACGACCATCAGCAGCAGGAATGGAGTGGCTACAGCCGTTACGATTATCGCAACACCAATCCGTATATGTATGGGGATCTTCGCGGCCGCAATCCACATGCAAGGCCGCCTCCTATCACCAGTGCTCCCCTAGAGCACAAAGCCGCAAAGCCAGGGTATGAGGCCTACCCGCAATACCCAAAGACACCCGAGGAAGGACAGACGGCAGAGACATACCACGCTTCACTAGCGCAAGCCCACGAGGACTTCGATGCTGCCACCTATCTGGACATGGACAGGTAATGTCTACCTTCATTTCAGAGGATTAACTGAAGTACACTGTCAAATATAGCATGTTTGAGAGTCCGTTTAGTACAAATTGATTTATAAATGTCTGATAAATCTGACTGACCCAGGTATAGGATACAGCAAGCAGTACGACGTCTGTATGATGGTTATATGGCGGAGGGCCGCCTCGACCCAGTCCAGCGCCGGCCAAACCTGGAGTCGTCTCTGGAACACGATTCCCACAATGATTCCGGCTACTCGACCCGCCTGTGCACGGGCTCCCAGGGCCCCTCGCCTGCCCTCTCAGGTTAGCTGGGGACAGACTGGCTTCTCTTGTTTTATACAGTATTCTAAATAACATCAATATATTTCACATTTCCAATCCAAAACGTATAATTTTACAACGGAATCTGTACTCGCCAGGTGGGCATGAAGTGTCATCAGACACCGAGATGAAGCACGTGTCCGAAACGTGTCTACAGGAGGCCAGTAGGCACGTGGTAGTCGAAGCCAGGGACGGAGGCAGACACCCTCCGGGAAGAGACGCGGCCTACGCTACGGGCGCCATTTCAAGGTTCTCGAACGGTTTGCCGCAGGGTACTTCGGCGTCCCGGTTCTCAACGCCACACTTGGGGAACGACAAAGTCATTATCGGGGAATCGTCTCTGGTGTAATATGGAACAGAGCATAATATGTGGCGAAGATGGAATTACCGAAAAAAAAATTCTTTGGTTTTAAGAATAACCATAAAAGTTCAAATAATAGCCAAGGTTAATTAGAACATGTGTTCTGAATTAGAAATTCATTGTTAAGTTAAACAGGTATTGCTTTTAATGAAGTGATTTTCAAAAATACATAAATAAGTAAAATGATGTACATAATGTGAGATATACCAGTCTCGGTGCTTGTATAAGATTCCA